GCTCAATCGGCTTGTATATTCAGTATAATAAAAACCGATTAATCAATAGAGCCGATGAGCCGATACGCATCTCTATCTAAGCGCACGTTTGACTAAATTTTTATATATGGTCCCGTCGCATTGCATTTAGGGAGGTCTGACTGTACCTTAATAAAATCCCAGGCATCACCCTAACCCTAAAGTAAACGATCTTAAAATTTTTTCCGGTCATATAAGATAAAGTTCGAAAATAATGTGACTGCGCCCTCGATTGTCGGTTACGTTGGATTTGCTTATATTAGCTATGAGAATAAATAAAAAAATGTTGAACATTACCATCAGATATAGCCTTATTGCTAACATCGATCTTTCTTTTCACAATTACAGAATTATTACAACAAAAATTTAAATGATGCAAATGATTTATTATAGATTTATTATATTGAATATAGAAGATTTTTGAAAACAATGCTAAATTATCATTTTTAAATTCATTAATAACTCTAAAAATATTACTTTTAATATATACATATTTTCATTATTTCGGACATTTAGAGTTTCATTATGTGCGTACGTACTGGGAAAAATTATAATAAAAATGATTGAAAATTCTAATAGCAATTCCGTATTGCCATATTGTAAGGACAAACTGGTTTAGACCATAATATCTTTAAGTAATATAATTAAAAATCAAAAACAAAAGGGGGCAACAAAAATATAATTATCCATTCAATTATATTCAATTTTAAATTAGGTTGTCTCTGAACATAACACAGTTGCTAAAATAAAAGGGAAAAAGTAATTAGAATAATTAGAAATTTGAAAGATTTAATCATTTCGTAACAAACAAGAATAACATACCTAATGGATCTTTTGTACCAGGAGATTTAAATGGATTAACTTGTATATTCCTAACATTCGTATTTCTCATGATAATATCATTCATAGAAGTGCTCATTATGATTGATCTCTCCTCGTCAGTATAAGTTTCACCTTCATACCAAAATCGATCAGAACTTCTTTTACGTATAAATTCAGCCATTATTATGGCAGAAATTGTTGGTGGTAATGGAGCTGTTGGACTTTCCATATCTTCAGCAAACATTCCAACTATTGCATCAATTTGGCTAACCTTTTTATAAATTTTTTGTAAATTGGCAGCAGCAGTTTCATTGGACGTTATAAGTTTAAAACATTCAATTGAGTCGACATCGGAATTCCCTTCACATTCTTTGTTTTTATATAGACCACCTTTCGGATGGTACGCTTCACGATATATATCATAAGGAGCGAGACCAAGCAAACGACCTTTTTAACAAAAAAGCAACATTAATTAAAGGGCAAACATTCGATGAAAATACACATGATATATACACCTAATATGATTCATACCTCTACCAATGTCTACAGCGAACAAATCCAAAGGAGCAGGGATATTTCTTAATGCAGTTGTGAAAAGTAAATCAAACTTTGCGGCAGTTTCTCTCAGCATACTAGCAAGAATGTTATCCATTCCATTTCCTTGAGAACCGGAAGCGAGAGTCAACATTCTTAGAGGAGTATAATCTAACTGTTGAGGAGTATAATTGGCCATAGGTGGAATTGGAACCGATTTGCCAACAAAGAAGAAACGATTGGGATGAGAATTTGGGAATGAAAAGTCAGGATGAAGTTCAATAAGATTTCCCGTACAACCATCGATGATGTTATAAGGACGGACGTTTGAATGACCATAACGAAAGGCAGCACCGGCAAAATGAACGGAAGTTTCCGGACGCAAAGATGAATTATAACCTGTGTAAGGAGGTACTTTAACACCAAGTACAGCGGGTAGATATTCATTAATTATAATGTGTTGATATTCAGCGATTGTCATCCTTCTAGCGCGTTGATAAATTTCTTCATCATTATCTTTCAAAGATGGGTCATCATTTAAAATTTTGTCAGCCCACCAATTATGTTCACGAATCCAAATAGTAGTAATAATACATAATTGGATGTTTTCAGAACAACGAGTATCACCACTAACCATGGCATCATTAGCTCTGATAGAAGGTGGCGACAGATTAGGATAAACATTAGTGTTTCCGGGACTTGGAGCCATTCGATCAGCAGTTACATTTGTAAGGGCTTTATTATAAGCACCACCGTTTCCAAAATAAGTTTCCAACAATAATTTTCCATCTTTCTTTGTACGAAGACCAATTGCCATATCATCCTTTGCAGCATAAATATTTGATAGGTCAAGATACGAATTACCGGAGTCTACTGGGATGAAAACGTTATTAACTATCCGACCTAACGAAAGGGATAATACCATGTCTGAAATATAAAGAGAAAAGTGGTATATTGTTAAAATTATTAATTAATTATTATATATTAAATAAATATTTTATAAAGACTTGATTACTCGATTACTCACAAGGAGTTTGTGTAGGATTGAATGGATTATTTGGTTTAGAATTAAGTACGGGATCATCTGTTATATTTGCAATAGAAATTCCTAACGAGACAGAGCTTAACGGAGAATCTTCTATGTCATGATTAATAAATTGACCAAAAAACTAAACAAATTCGGGAAGATACGTTACTACTGATTTTAAAAAAATCTTTTCGAACAATTTATATATAAACTTACAATTTCAAATATAGACTTTCTTGCAGTTGACGGCAGGTCGTCAGTCAATGGACTTCCTGAAATAATGGGTTCTTGACCACTATCGCCCAAAATGTTTGAGATCATTCTAGTGTCAATGGTTGACCAAGGTTGACCAGTATATTTATCTTTGTAGTTAGGTTCAAAATAGCCTCTATCAAAAGCATTGTATGGTACACCCCAATTTGAATTTTCGATATTATTGCAACTTCCATCATATGTTCTCCATTTAAGATCATTGTCTTTACATGCTCTTGGTTTAGGCAAGTCAGGAATAGCATCAGTAAAATTACCCGAGACATATTGTGAATAAACAGATGATTGTTGGTTTATGAAGATAAAAAAGCATAGTGTTAAGGAAAATAGACCTTGGTACATCCTTGTGACCATGGCTATATGGTAATAAGGTAATAAACGAGTGAATAAAAATAAAGGAGAGGAGGGGAAAAAAAAGAGAGAGAAAAATTATATGGTTATTCAAAAAGGTCTAAGGAATATGGTTTGGGACATAAGGAAGGCATTACCGTTACAAAATAACTCTTAATGCAATATAAACAAATATGCATTTACTTCATAAGGATGTTTTATTTGTGTTTAATGACATTTGTACCATGCAAAATTTAATGTATTTCATGCAGTACAGGAATTCTCGATCGAATTGTACCTTAACATAAAAATAATTCGGATAAACATTCGCAAACAATTATAAACAGTAATATCGAGATACTGTAGATTTAAAGAAACTTACTCGCGAAATATAACATGTGAATCTGATCAGATTATACTGTAGTTTGTGTGTGTACAAAGTACAATTTGCTTATACCCTAACATTGACCTTAAACCTTAACCTTTAATGGTGGTGCATTTCTTTTTTTTTTACGTAGCATAGCATTCATCATCAAATTATAAAAAAGGAAATTTTATAAATCCAAACTAGGAGCTAGCTGTTATCAGTCTGGAGTCAATTCTTGCTATTTGATTATTGAATTTAATATTCGCAGTTGAAATTAACACAATTGTAAAGAACTTTGATTATAGGGTTTAGTATTGTAATCGTAATCGTAATGTGAAATGTAAACTCTTATGAACTCAAATAATCATTATATAGACTGCATACGTAATTCGTAAAAAGAAATATTTTTTAACGCTAAATTTAGATTTCTAGAATTCCAAGTTTTCACCGCTCAATGTTTTTTTTTTGGTCCCGATTTGATCATATCTTAGATGATCATTGAGACACTTTATCTAATTTCTAATAAAGTAATACAAAGATCCTTTATTACAGTATTAATCTATATATCTATATTTTTGTTAATACTAATATATATATATATACATATATATTCGTAATACCTTTAAGTGAAGTGTTACAGGTTTAATTAAATAATTTTTTGCAGTGTGCCAAGATGATTTGTTGTTGACGTTTTTAATATATAACTATTTATAGTTATCATTTAATTTGCGAATATAATATTAGGATATCTTTTCGGATAAGCTCGATGATTAATTAGAAAGGTGGATTTACCGAGTGGAAATCACAATTCGCCATTGTGATCTATCTCCATGCAGAAAAAATAGATTGTTTGATACTTTTAAAATAAATACTTCCTGTGTAAAAACTTAAAAGGTCCCACAATTTGTTTTTCCCTGTCGTCATTCGTGTAGAGTACCCGATCAAGTACACGGACTTTAGGGTAGTAAAAAATGTTCATATTATTTTTAATCACCAGAATGGAAACTATAACATTTGAGACCCCTACAAAAACTTAGCACACAACTTTATCATAATCACTACAAAAAATTAGCGAAGTTACACGCTCAACTTTTATCATATCCACAATGATAAATAAGGGGCTGTTTGTTTATCTACTCTGTAGAACATCCCAATTGATTTGTGTACGTGCTATTTAAAATTCAATCTTATATACGAGATATTATATAAAAATTATAATCCATTATTCTTGGGATGAAATTACGACTATTGCTATGTTTGGGTATTTTTACGGGAGAGGTAAAAGAGAGGACTGGCTCATCATCTGACACAATTCATTAAAGGTATTTTGTCCGGAGTGAAGTGAGGTCCCATATTTCCATGTGTTTTGATAACCGAAATTACGCATTCATAATACGTAGAAGTAAAAACTCAGTTTCGGATTTTCCATCTATAACTCCTTAATGCCTGATTTTTTTGCCATTATCGTTAACATCTTTATACAGAGATACCTCCTTAAATGCTCTCTGTCCGGACCAAACTCTTGTCCGTGCGCATTCAGAGAACAATAAGAAAAATTGTATTTAGGGAGGTTAAGTATATACAGAGAAACCCTTGGCAATGTGCATTTAGAAAACAATAAGAAAAATTGCATTTAGGAGGTTAAGCATATACAGAAAAATTGCATTTAGGAGGTTAAGCATATATAGAAAAATTGCATTTAGGAGGTTAAGCATATACAGAAAAATTGCATTAAGAGGTTAAGCATATACAGAAAAACTGCATTAAGAGGTTAAGCATATACAGAAAAACCTCCCTAAATGTACCCTGTCCGGACCAACCTCTTGAAGAAATTACACTTAGGAATATATATGGGCCAGAGTTTAAGAGTGAATTTATGGAGACAATGCATTTAGGGCTAGTTTGACGAAGTCAATAGAACTCAATGATTATATAAATAGAGCGCAAAAAAAAAAAAAAAAACTAGTATCTATTAGCTCCATTCGGAGCTCCATTGGCTCCATTTGCAGTCCCATTGGATTTCATTAACCTTCATCGCCAACCCTAATTTAAAGAAGTGCATTTAGAGAGTATTTTTGTATTTGGCCCAGAGACTAAAAGAAAGTGCATTTATGGAGGTAATGCATTTAGGGAGTTTTTTGTGGTGCATACTTTTTCAAAGGGCTTGTTTAACTAATCAAGTGCATTACGTACCGTAAAGTCTCAAAAATAAGCAACCCTCTAAGTCATCCCTTTTAGCTAAATTTGTTATAAGGGATATTAAATTCAGTAACTATAAAATACTCAATTTCTATTGATCTATTTTAATAAAAGTGTCTATTTTTTATATACTGTATTTAGTAATTTTAAAGAGTTTTTTATTTTTTAATTTTTTAATATTTAAAGATAGAGAATTTCTATTTGTATACGGGTGTGTATACACGGACAATATAAATTTTGATTATGAAACCACCTTTTGGCTTCTAATAAAAAAAATTCCTTGTGAAATTTTAGTACAGGCTATACCTCGCCCAAACCACCCTTACTCTAACTATAAGCGAGGGTTTGTAAAAATTGTTTTGATTGGCATATTACACGAATTTGTAATTCAATAAATTTTTTTTTTTTTTGAATATTAATGGTGAGATCATGTCTCTATCTTTATTGAAATTTAATTCGATTCTCTTACAATAAAAAGAATACATTTAAACTCCATATCCTAAGATAACAAGAAAAGAAACTCAGACTAGTTTATCTGCGGCCTAAACCAACTAGGGTGGCCATGGCTCACCTAGATTTGAGAATTAGTAATTATATATGTTAAACTTGTTTGGTATTTGATCCATAGAGGATATCAAAGTGTTAATTTGTTGCTAGCTAAAGTGAGAGGTGAAGGTTGAGAAGATGAAGAAAATGTATAAGATGAGACAGGAGGTGAAGAAGATGAAGTATTATTACAGGATATATTTGAGAAACGAGAAATGCAATAAGGTATCCAAATATTATGATAAATTTGTAAATTAAGATGTAAAAGAAATTTTATAGTAATTGTAGAAGCTGATTTGGTAGATAATGTAATATCTTTGAGCAGATAAATAATATTGAGGGGTACTAAACCTGACAGAGTAGAGTAGATAGATGGAATGTGATTATTATGATGAAATATCATGCTGTTAAGATTTTTAATTTGGTTATGAAGTATAGCAACTGATTCTGGTGTAATATCTAAAGATGTAGAATTAATGATCTGTTGTAAAGAACTGTCAATAAGATTATGAAGTAGTGCTGGTGATGGACAAGTAGCCCAATGTAGTGAGGTACTCATTTGGTTGCATTGATGACAATTTGGTGAGGTTTGGTGCTTGCGTTGATATAGTATATGAGGAGTAGGAAGCTCATCAAGAAGAATTTTAACTCAGAATGATTTGAGAGTAGAAGATTGAAAACTATATGAGAAATTTGTAATTTTTTGGTTGTTGTTTATATAAAGCCATATAGCAGGCCAGTTGATGTGATGGGTAATTTGTGACCATTGTTGAAATCTGTTTTGGGATGACCACAAGGCATAGATATGTGCATAGCAGATAGTATGAATAGTGCATCAAATTGGTAGCTCTAGAGGGTATTCATCAAATTGAAGAGTAAAATTAGGATTATAAATATTATAAGATTTGAGAATAAGATAATCAGAAGTAAGATGACATCTAGCTAGTTGATCAGCCATATTATTGAATCAGTCTTCTTGGTGTGCAGTAACTTTGTGAAAAATAATTTGAAGATTATATGCTTTAGTAAAATTAATGAAAGTATACCAGAGCATAGAATATGAAGAATTTGTAGAAGATAAGGAATGTGGAGTTTGTTTAAGACTATTGTATTTGAAAATAACTGATTGTGAATCAGTAAAGATATGAACAGTACAAAATCTAGGAGCTGTAATAATTTAGCAACAAGTTCTGCTTTGAAGGAACAAGGCCAGTATTTGATTTGTGCTTGAAACCTGTATAGTATATTCTCTTGATGAATTTGTATCTATCCGATACCCATTGAACAGTTAGGTGAACCAAGATTAAGTACAGAACCATCTGTATAGAAAGATATTTCAGAGAACTGAATATTAGAGTTTGCAATAGTTTGAAGAGTATTAGTAGAAGGTTCAGATTCAAAAATAGGTGGAATTAAAGCAACATTATGAAGAATATTAGGAGCAGGTAGAATATAAAGGGGGTTACAAATAGCAATAGAGTATATTAGGTCTAAAAAGTTGGTGTAGGGTTTAATAGTTTTGTTCATTGAGTTGTAAGTACAAAAGAATTTGGATGCTAAATTAATTGGAATAAATAGTGTACATCTATTGGTAATAAGTTTACAGTTATAAGAGCAGCCAGAACATGGCTTAATATTAATAGGAGGTGTTGGATATAGTTTAGTAAATTGTAACTGGAAAGAGCATTGCCAGTGTGTTATAAGAACAAGACCAGTTGAGGTAGGCTGTCTTCTTGCTTTACCAATTATTATCTGGTCTTCAATAGTAGTTATAAGCCATGGTTTTGATTTTAAAGAAAAGTGACCAGTAGAAAAACTATAATGATTAGTATCAGGAAGGTTGTAGTGACTATAAAGTGTTCCATTGAACTGATGGTTAGTTACTAGATCTTCAAGAGTT